CCCCCCATGAGGTGCACCACTGGAGTGGAGTTGCGCACCCACTGCTGCCACACAGGGCTGCTTACATTTCAATCAATTAAAATAAAAGAAAAAAACAATTCAGCCCCATGATCCCACTGGTCACACTTCAAGTGTTCAGGGGCCATGTGTGGCCAGCGGCTCCCCTACTGGGAAGCGCAGGCACCAAACATTCCCACCCTCACAGAGGGCGATGGGCTCAATGCGCATTGAGGGCCCTCCCAGCCCTGAGATGCCCTGCGGAGGAGAGGGGGAGGGGAGGAGGAGGAGGGAGGGGGAGACTTCTAGAATTGGCCTGGGGAACAGAAAAGGTGACCCTTACACTGAGTCTAAAGGACAGCATGATAATTCCCCGGGAGGAAATTGCAGGTGCCAATGAACGTGAGAGGGAGGGACAGAGCTTTGGGTCACAGGTAGCCCAATGGGCAGCGAAGGGCAGTGTCCTGGGGGTCCTCTGGAGCCAGGAGGGCTGGGAGCAAGAGCAGGGAAGCGTGGGCAGTGGTCCCGGACTCACCAGCCGTGATAAAGTCCAGGAGCTGGAAGGCCGTCCTGAAACGGGTGCAGGCGATGTGGCTCTCCTGGGCATCCAGGGCCAGGAAGGCCAGGCAGCTGAAGAAGGCCAGGAGGCCGGCCCCCACGGCCAAGCTGCAGGCCATCTGGTTGCTGTTGAGGACACAGTGGAGCTGTGAAGAGTCCGTCTTGTTCTGGTAGCCGTCGGTCAGCAGGACAGAGAAGACGATGAGGGCGAAGATCTGTGGGTGTGGGAGCAGGTTCCAGGGACCCGAGTGGAGCTCAGCACCTCCCCAAACCCTCTCGTCCCCTCTGGGCTCCCCATCTGTGGACTGGACCCTACCATCCACCCACCGGGCAGTTCTTGCCCCTCCCTCAGAGCCTCCAAGCCCTGTCCGTCTTGTTGCCCCTCACCCATCTTCTCCATACTAGCTCAGGCCTCCTCCTCTCCCTCTGGGCCCTTGCTCCAGCCCCTCCTGGGCCTCCCTGCCTCCAGTCTCAGCTTCTCCACACCCCCCCTCCCTGCTCACAGCCCCCCATGGCTCCCTAGTGCCCCCGGGACAGAGTCCTGGCCCCTCAGCCTGGCCTGTGAGGCCCTGCCTGTGCTCTCCTCACTCACCCCACTTCACCCACACTCCCCTTCTGCCACCCCAAACTGGTACCTGCCACCAAACCCAGGTACCAACATCAGATGGTTAGCTCAGTGCCCTGGACACAGCATGAGCTCCATGGGTGCTTGCCGTCATGATGATCCTCTCTGAGGCCAAGCTCTGCCCGCTGCAGCCTGCAGCTCCCTCCTCCTGCCCAGCTAGGCTAATCCCTACTCATTTTTAAATTTGTGAAATAGTTGAAAAACACAGAAAAGTATGGAAAGAAATGTAACAAACACCCAGGACCTACCAAACATTAACATTTTGCTTTTTTTTTTTGCTTCAGGACTTTTTAAAAAATATATCTTTATTGATTTCAGAGAGAGGAAGGGAGAGGGAGAGAGAGAGAGAAACATCAGTGATGAGAGAGAGTCATTGATCAGCTGTCCCCTGCATGCCCCCTGCTGAAGATCGAGACCGAAACCTGGGCATGTGCCCTGACAGGGAATGGAACCTCCATGTCCTGGATCCTAGGTCGATGCTCAACCACTGAGCCATGCTGGCTGGGCCAGGACTTTTTTCGAAGCGAATACAACCTCACTGAGAGGGTAGCCCCGGCTCTTGCACACGCCGCATGGAGCTCGCTGTAGTAAAATTGCCTGCATCTCCGCTTGTAGTCCGCGGTGTTTATTAAGCGCCACTGACGTTCTCCACAAGCACCAGCCTGTGTCATCCTTACAGCCACCCCAAGATCTGGGTATTACTAATGGCCCCATTTTTAAGATAATGGAACTGAGGCACAGAGAGGACGAGGAATCACCCAAAGTCACTCAGTTAGCAAGTGGCAGTGCCTGGGTTTGAATGAGTTATCTGGCTCCTGAGCTTTCCTTAACCTCCTGCTATACTGCCTCTAGCTGGACCAGACAAGACACCTCAAGGGCAGCGGTTTCTACCAATGCCATTCAGTGAAAATTTTAAGCCCCAATCATTTGTCTCAGACAGTCGCAATGCAGGTGATGAGGTCCAAGCGAGATATGGAAGGACCGGGGTGATATGGGGCAGGTGGTGGGAGTTGATCCAGTAAGGCCTTCTGGATGAGGTGATGCCTGTAAGGAGTGTTGCAGGGTAGGAAAGGCGAAGGAATGGGGAAGTTGCCAGAAGGGCAGTAGGGAGCCACAGCAGGGCTCTGAGCAGGGGAGGGTCAAGGGCAGCTCTGGGTGCACGAAGACCCCTTTGGGACTGTGTGCAGATGGACTGGAGGAGATGAGACTAGAGATTGGAGGCAGGCAGGTGACCAGGGCCTGGGGTCAGGGAGAGAATCAAGGTTTGAGCTAGAACTGAAGTCGTGGGGCTGGATTGGGGAGGAAACAGAGTGAGATCTGAACTGCATCTTAAAGAATAAGTTTTCCAGGCAGACAGGGGAGGAAGGGCAGTCCAGGCGGGATGGACTGTGTGTGCCGAAGCCAGATGCTGCAGAGGCGGGCTCCTTCAGGGCCTGGAGAGAAATTGCATGTGAGGGGTCGGGTGTGAGAGGAGGCTGGAAAAGTGGATGGGGCCTGACTCTCAGAGGTTGAACACCAGACTAAGGGGGCCGGTCTTGGGAGCCGTGGAAAATGAAATTTCTTGCTTGAATTTAATGACAAGCATGGAGAGGTTCTGCGCAGAGGATGGCTGGGGTCAGACCCAGGAGTTAGAGCAAATCTCCAGGGTCATGATTGTTTGGAGGGGGCAAAACAAGAAGCCAACAGAAAAAAAAAAAGAAGAAGCCAACAGATCAGAGAGATTGGTGGGAAGGCCCAGGCAAGAAATGCTGAGGCCTGAGCTGAGGTTGGGGCTCTGGGGAATCAGTGATATTTAGGACATAAAAGTGGAGTTGGGGGTTGATTGGTGTGGCCATGCTGGCTGCGTAGGTGAGGGGTAGGGAAATCCATTAGGATTTGAACTCCTTCTGGACAGGTCGGTATGGAACTCTTCTATCCCCAGGACCCAGCACCAGAATGGACCTTAGCAAATGTGTGTTGAAAGAAGGAATGATCTTAGGACTTTCTTCTTTGTTCTTGCCCTGACCTTCAGAGCGGGGAGTAGAGAGGCAAAGGATCGCCCCCTAAGCTCCTTAGACTCTGTTCCTCCTCCTTGATCCTTTGTCTTAATTGTCTTGTCTAAAATAATAATAGTAATAATAATAATAACAACAACAACAGCGAGTCCCTCTTTTTGCCCAGCATGTTAGCATTGACTGAGGGTATTGCCTCCATTCTGCTCTGGGCTGAAGAACAGAGTCTGTAGAGGGGAGGGTCTGGCCTGGTGGTCTGAGGCAGCCAGGTCAGGCAGGACCAGCAGGCCCACTGGTCATTTTTAAGCTGCACTCATTTTACCTGCATCACCTCCCCAAAGCATCACATCCGCCCACACTGGATGTTACTAATCCATTTCTGTTTCACAGGTGATAAATCAGAGCCATTGTGGTGGAGTGGAAAGAGCCAGACACAGCTCACTCGGCCAGCTGTGTGGCCTTGGGCAAATCGCTCACTTCCTGGAGCCTCAGTTTCCCAGTCTGTCTCCACACTGCGAAGAGGGGGCATGTGGGGTGGGGGCTTGGCCCTGATGATAGTTCTCATGAATTGCCCAGGGCGGGAACGAAGTGTCCTCTCAAGGTCAGTCAGTGGAGGAGAGGGGATTGAGACCCAGCTCTCCTGACTTCTAGTCAGTGGGCTATCTGTCCACTGATCCCAAAACCCTTGGGCTGTGGCACTGGAGAAGTGGGGAGGAGGCTCTGCTGGGCCAGAGGAACCCTAGCCCTTGGAATCCTGAGTCCAAACCTCCTTCCACGCCCTCTCTGGCCTGTCCCCAGGGAGGGAGCAAAGATTCATCAGTTAAGGCACCAGCTGGCAGGCGGCAGTGAAGACAGGCGCGCCAGCTGCCCAGAGAGTCCCTACTGAGGAGCCAGGCCAGGGGGGAAGGAGAGCTGGGAGGGAGGGAGGGTGGATGCAGGCAGCGGGCAAAGTCTGTAACCGAACCTTCTCGTTGGCGGCCCTTCCCTGCCCCTTCACCACACCAGTCCATAGCAGCTGGGCCGCCTCCTCCCTTGCCACCCGCCCTTCCTTCAGAAGTTTTGGAGGCGTGTAGATCCTTTTGACTTGCTCACCAGCTGGATGATGTCCTTGGGTAAGTCACTCAATCTCTGTGGGCCTCAGTTTCCTCTTGGGTCAACCAGGGGTAATAACGCCCATGTCATAGGGTCGTGGTGAGGAGTAGAGGTAACACCAGTGAGGGAGCTGGAACTAGGATGTGGGACTCGTAATTCCCCTCTTCCTCTGGCTGAGAGTGACAGTGGACAGGAGTCACCATCACCTAGGCCCCCCCAAACCCATCTCTCTCCTCACTCACAAGTAATGATTTGTCCCAATAATAATTGCTATTTAATGAAAGCTTAGCATGTGCCAGGCCCAGGCTAATCAGTTTAGGGACATCACCTTGTTTCATTTTCACAATCCTTCCTGTGAGCAGGGTATCAGGGCCCACTTCTTATACATGAGGGTGCAGAGGTTTGGAGAAATCAAGTACTTTCTCAAGGTCACACAGATATAGGGTGACTCAGTAAATTATCAAACAAAACAAGGTACTTTCGAGAATGAAAGGTGGTGCTTCTGATAATTAGGTCAGACAAACCGAGGTGTATGTCACCCTATGTGTACAGCATGTGACAGCCAGGATTCTAAGCCAGGCCCATTGGATTTTCTGACTGCAGGGTCCAGAAGGGGTAGGAAGGGGATACTCTGGATTAGGACCCTGGGTTCAATCCAGGGTACCTCATCTACTCCCATGACTCTGATCAAGTCTCATCATCTCCCTGGGTCTCAGTTTCCAACTCTGTCAAAGGAGAGGAATAGTGGCAGCACAGCCTAGAGCCCAGAGAGGAGCAGTGATTGGCCCAAGGTCACACAGCAAAGTGTGGCCTGAATGAGGATTTGAGCCCAGGTGTCTTGACTCTTTGGGAATGTGGTGATGACTAACCAAATGCCTGTAAAACCCTTGCTTGGCACAGTGCCTGGCCCAGTGGCCACCCAACATCTGGTGTCTTAGGTTACATATTCTCTCCCACCTCTTCCTAGAGGCCCCAGCCCCTGTTCATCTCCCAGTTCCCTGTCTGAAAGGTGGAAAATGAACAGGCTCTGGCACCTCACAGGCCTCGGTTTGAATCCCGGCCCTGCCTCTACTGTGTCACCTTAGCCAGCACTGTTTGTCATGATGGAAATGTTCTAGATCTGAGCGGCACTGTCCAGTACGTGAGCCACTAGCTGCCTGTGGCGGCTGGGCACCTGAAATGTGGCCCCTGTGACTGAGGAACCGAACATTTTATTTATTTTAATTATTTTAAGCTGAAATAGCCACATATGGCTTGTGTCTTCCCCCTTAGACAGTACAGCCTTATAAAAATTATTCAACTTCTCTGATCCTCAGTTTTCTTATCTCAAAGATGGGGCTCATAGCACCTGCTTTGAAGGGTTGTTTCTTCCTATGAGAGTAATAAGTTCTCAGAATAGTGCAGGGCAGGGCCTACAGTTAGGTGCTGAGTAAAAGGTGACCAGTTATTAGCTCCCTTTTGCGTCCTTTCCCCCACCTGGCCCCTTCTGTCCCCCACTCCCTGCGCTGTGTCTGAGAGGAGAGACCTCCTGTTTCCTGTCACCCACGGGGCAGTGGGGCCACAGGGGGGCCTCACCCCTGCGAAGATCCTCGTGATCGTCTTTGGCCTCTTCAGAAACTGCACGGCTTCGCTGTCAGCCAGGTCCTGGAGGCTTTCGGGGATGTGCATGGCAGCTGCTCTGCTTCTGGGGCCCTGGGCGGCTGGAGCAGGGGCGCTCTGCTGACTGCCGGAGGCCCCGGGCCCACCCTGGGGCTCTGCTGCTGAAGGATGAGATGGATGGTGGGAGGTTAGTGAGAGGCATGGGGTGAAGGAACTTTCAGGGGTCCCAGGAGAAGGGGGCACAAGATAGGGGAGTCCTGGGGGCCCCAGGAATGGGGTTGTATGGGGTAAAGGGCCTGGTAGGGTTCTTAGGAGTCGGGCATGGGGTGACAGGGCTGCTGGGGTCCTGGGGGTGGTGGTGCAGGACGAGAGGGCTGCTGAGGATCCCATGAGTTGGGGTGCGGGGTAAGGGGGCTCCAGGGAATTTCAGAGGTAGGGTCACCAGGCGTGGAGGCAGCTGGGGGGCCCAGAGGTGGAGGTGTCAGGTGAGGAAATCCCAAGCGGGGAGAAGGGTTGGAGAGAGGGCTGGGATATTGGGGTCATGTCCCTGACACAGGAGCAAAAGGGCCACTTTGAAGGACTGTGTTCTCCCTGTGAGAGGACACAGTGGCATTTCCAGGGAGTTGAGGTACTGGATCAGAACTCCTAGAAGATCCGAACCCTTTCAGGTTTGGGGTGACGGCGCCCACAATGGAGAAGCCAGGCAGAACAGGGCATATTTTAGGCTGTCCTCATGCCTTGGGGTTATTTCCTTAGAATACAGGTCTCCCCTTAGAACTCAGCTCTATCTTCATAAAAGTGACTTTCCTCAAGTTGGGAGGGGGTCTGGATCTCAGACGTGTGGGGACATGGGCTTAGAACTGAGCTGTCCCCTCAAAATGAGGCCATGCCCCTCGCACTAGGTTACCTTCTTAGAATCAGGGTCTTCCCTTTAAGGACGTGAGATGGGGATGTTGGGTCTTGGGGGGACGCTGCCTGACAAAGGGTCACCCCTACTCTGAGGCCCGGTCTGCGTCACTTGGGGGCCCGCTCTTCCTTTCGCCCACCCTTCCCATCCCTGTCCCAGGCGCCACCTCAGACCAGTTTTGCTTCCGCTTTTTCCCGCCTTTTCGCTCCTCCACAGCGGATTGGCTGCGCCCAAGCCCCGCCCCTTTTTCCCCCCTCCTACTCAGCAGCCGACACGAGCCGGGGCGTGGCCGCAGCGGACGTTGGGCTGTCCGCCCGTTGGCGGGCTGCGCGCGGGAGCCCTACCCCGCCCCAGCCCTCCCGGGAGTCTCGCGCCCGCTCCGTCCTCTTCTCTTTGAAGCACGGGGACAAGGAGACATTCCTGCTGCGCATGCGCTGCGCCCAAAACAAGGCCAGCGGTGGAGAAAGGCAGGCATATTGCTCGTGCGCAGTTTATATGACATTAGAGAAAGAAGTGGACAGCGCTCAGTGACCCAGGTTTTTGCGCATGCGTCCTACTGCTGCATGAAGCCGAAGCTCGGGAGCCCAAGAAACCTTCCTGCACATGCGCAGGAGGCTCAATGACAGCCGAGCGTTGGCTAAGGTGAGGGGAGGGAGGGGGATTGCATGGCCAGGGCGGGACGGCCCTGCACCCTCTATGTAGACGTTCCAGCTTCTCCTATGCTCCCAATTTCCACCTCATCGCCTAGACCCCGCTGAAACCAGTTGTACCACTACAGGGTGTCTGGGCCCTCAAAATGCCCCAGGACCTAAGACCCCTGACCCTTCCCTGGGACCCAGGTCCATCGAGCAGTGTGGGAGGGGACCCGCAAGAAGAGCTATGAGGTGGGCGGCTGGGCTCTGCGCCCCGCCTGGGCTAGGGACAGCTCCTGCAGGTTGAGACAGGGAAGTGGAGGGCGTGCTTTTCCATCAGATGTCTTTTGACCCCTACCTATTTCCCTCGTTTAGGCTCGGGGGACAGGGGCTGGCCATGTTGCACGTGACCCGGGGGGTCTGGGGATCCCGGGTCCGAGGATGGCCACTGTTGACCTCGGTCCTCGGGCCCGACCGGGCCCTGTCCTCGCTGGCGGCCAAGATGGGGGAGTACCGCAAGATGTGGAACCCCACGGAGCCCCGCAACTGGGCGCAGCAGTACCGCGAGCGTTTCATCCCGTTATCCAAAGAGCAGCTGCTCCGCCTCCTGATACAGGTACCGCCCGTCCGGGGTCCAAGAGCCTAGGGCCTACGACTCCCGGCAGGCCTTGCGGCGGCAGGGCCCTGCTTGCTACAGAGGACTGCCCTGGCGCCTCCTGGGAGTTGTAGTTCCCGTTCCCCTAACAGTCCCCACTGGGCGCAAAGAGAACTGGAATGTAGGGGGAAGAAGGCAGCTGAGATGCAAATATAGCCGCGGTTCCCAGCCCTAGCTTGTTCTGGGGGCTTGAACAAGCACTCTCTGGGGCATGTTTTTCCCCTCTGCAAAATGGGTATAATAATTATTATTACTATAATTACTACCTAATAATAATTATTATACCTACGAAGCTATAATCATAATTATTATCACACTGTTTGAGCTCTTATTACATGGCACTGTGCTAAGCATTTTTCATGTATTGTTTTCTTTTAAATGAAAACCATCACCAAAAGAGGTTAGAAGACTTAGAGGCAAGTTCTTTCTCCAAAATGAGATGACATCAGTTCTAATTCTTACCGAGATTACTAACCAACCATTAGGATATTATTTTACATTTTCCATGTATTGAATCATCAGAACAACCCAATAAGAGAGATACCAGCATCATCCCCATTTTACAAATGAGGTCACTGGAGCAGGGGAAGGAAAATGATAAGCATAAGTAATTGGTTAAATATGTGTGCTCCGGAGTCAGGCCTAGACTGGAGTCTCAGTTTCTCTTTATCTAGACATTAGGCCCTCAGTGAGTTACTTCCCTGAGCCTCATTTTTCCCCCTCTGAAAAATGGGGGTTATAATTCCATTGGCCTCTCTGTATGTCACGTGGGTAAGCAGTGCCTGGTGCACAGTAAGCATCGTGTGAATGTTGGCGAGTCAGTGTCAGAATGAGAACTTGAACTCCCAGCTCCTTCGGTCATGTTTTTCACTATACTGGGCTACCTCAGTTTCTGGATAAATAAAACTCACACCGTCCCCCAAACAAAGCAAAATTTTGAAAAGCTCAGAGCTTTGACTGCCTGTATGGGCTGCCAGGGAAAGAATTCCTCCTCAGGAGGAAGGGAAAAGAGGCCTAAAGAGCAGTTTTGCTTCCTGAGGTAACAGGAATTCCACTCCAGTCCTGAGGAGAAGGCGGCTTTGGAGGAGTTCTCAGCCCACGTGGACTTCTGCACCTTGTTCCACTACCATCACATCCTGAGCCGGCTGCAGGTGAGGACGGAGCCCCTCCAGCCCTGTCATGTTTGTTTGCTCATCCATTCTTTTAGCAAAAGTTCTCTGAACACCTGCATGGAACCTGGCCCTGTTTTAAGCCCTGGGGACATGTCCATGAACAGGACAGATAAAGCCACACCCTCAGGGAGGTGGTCTTTCACAATGAATGAATCAGTTCAGACTGAACTTGAAGGGCGAGGTCCAGGAGAGTGGATGAAAAAAGCTGACCTTGGTTTCTGTACCAGGGTCTGAGAGTTGGGGAGACAATAAATAAATATGAAATATGATACCCAGAGTGGTAAGTGCTGAGAAGAACAACGAAGCAGAGAATGAAGCAGGTTAGACAGGGGTGAGATGGGGGCCTGTTTTAGACAGGTGGTCAAGGAAGGCTTCTCATGAGGAGGTGACAGGTAAGATAGGACCTGAGTGAAGAGAGGGAGCATGCCTGATGGATTTCTGGGGGAGGGCGTTCCAGGCTGAAGGAAAAGCAAGTGTGAAGGCCCTGGGGTGAGAGAGGGCCTGGCATGTTGGAGAAACAGCAAAGGGACCACTATAGCTGTAGGGCAGTGAGCGAGGGAGAGAGGGCGGAAGGTGAGAGCAGGGAGGGGGGCAAATTGTGCCTGGCCTGTGGGCCGTGGTGAGGACTTTGCTTTTACTCCAAGTGAGCTGGAAGCCACAGGAGGGCTCTGAGCAGAGAAGGAACTCGAGCTGATTTAGTTGTTAACAGGATCTTTCCGGCTGCTGTGTAGAGAACAGACTGTCAGAGGCAGAGAGATCTGGTAAAGAGTCTATTATGTCTGTCCAGGCGAGAGGTAATGGCAGCTCTGACAAGAGTAATAGCGGTGGAAGTGGCGAAAAGTGGTCAGACGCTGGTAATAGTTGGAAGGCTGCAGCATTTGGCTGTGTAGGCCAGGCAATGAGGGAAAGAGGGGTGCCTCCAGCCGTTCTGGCCTGCTCCCCCAGAAGGATGGAGGTGCCATTTTCTGAGATGTGGAGGACAGGGAAGGGGCTGGAGGCAGATCTGCAGGGAAGGTTGAGAGCTCAGCTTTGGACTTAGGAATTTTATGCTGCCTATCAGATAGCCAGGCAGAGAGATGGACTTGAATGTGGGGTCTGGAGGTCAAGGGAGGGGTCTGGACTGAGAAGCAACCCCGGGAGGACCTAGATGGTACTAAATGGCACCATGAAGGGAATTAGGTGTACCTCGGGGTGTGCCAGCCTTGAGATCAGGAAGGGGAACTGGAACTGGGGAGGAGGGTGGACAAGGAGCAGCCAGAGAGAGAAGTGGAAACGCAGGAGAGAGTGCTGCCAGAAGACAAATTCTTAGCATCCTCCTTCTCCTCCTTCCTGGGCCCTGCCTGTGTTGAGGGTCCCCAAAACCAGCCTCAGATTAATTGATTTTCTTTTTTTTATATATGTTTTTATTGATTTTTAGAGAGAGAGTAAGGGAGAGGGATAGAGAGAGAAACATCATCCATCAGTTGCCTCTTGCACGCCCCCTACTGGGGATCGAGTCTGCAGCGTGGGCCTGTGCCCTGATGGGGAATCTTAACCAGGGTCCTGGGCTTTGCTGAGGAGCCAGCTGGAACCTGCACCCTGCCCTCAGGGAGCTGAAGTCAAGTAGTGGCGACAGCCATGAATCAGATGCTCTTTCCCAAGGAATGGATAAGTTCAGATTGTGAACTTGAAGGGCACAGTCCAGGCAAGTGGATGAAAAAGCTGACCTTGGTTTCTGTACCAGGGTCTGAGAGTTGGGGAGATCTCTAATAGGATAGTCCCTATCCACCTGTGGCTGTTTAAACTCGGAATAATTGAAATTAAATACAATTTTAAAGGTCTATTCCTCAGTTGCATTCACATTTCAAGTGCTCCGTAGCCACCTGTGACTAATGGCATTGTAACGGGGGCACAGATCTAGATGTTCCAGTAATTGCAGGAAGTTCTGTTGGGTGGTGCTGCTCTATACCCTTTAATTTCATCCAAAAGGGTGATTGTTAGGATAAATGTACAGGGCTACAGCATCTACAATGGTGCCTCTTAGACCTGGCACCTCTCTGCCGTGCATACCTTGCCCAGCCACACAGTGGCCCTGCTCAGCCTAGGCATCTGGGAGGGCTTGTAGGGAGAGAGTGATAAAGGAGCTGGAATACAGTGAAGGAGTGGGGATCCCAGCCCTGGGAGTTAGTTCAGAAGATTAGCTGGGTTTGACTCTCCCCTGCATCACCTGGCTCCTTGCTCAGTTGTTTCTAAGGTCCTGGGCCTCCCACCTCCAAACCCTTGTCCAGGGCGTTCTGTCCACTTAGAGTACCCTCTCCTCTTTTCTTCCACTAATTCAAAGTCACGCTTTGCCTTAGGCTCCCTTTCCTGGGAGACACTCAGAGGGCGGGTTTATGAACGTTTTAATGAAGTGCTTTCCCCCTGAGCTTGGGACATTGTCTGCATCTCTGTGTGGTCAAAACTGGGTCATGGGTACAAGAATGTTCTAAGCTGGCAGAACAAGGAAAGACTGGAAGGTCCAGGGGGGCAAGAAGCGAGGGGGAAGGTGCACCCATCACTTCTGCTCACATTCTATGGATGAAACCTTGTCTCCTGGCGGCATCTAGCCTCAAAGGAGGCTGAGAAATGTAGTCTCTGGGCAGTGTGTGTCCACCTTTACTTCCATTCCTGTGGGAGACCAGGACGAATGCTCGTGTGCTGGACTTGGGATTAGGTCTGGAACTTGGTGGAGAGGTCCAGGCTGGAGATGTGATCGGGCACTCATCTGCAAGACAGGGTGTTGAAAGGCATGGGAATGGCAAAGCCACTGAGAGCAAGCTTGGAGAGAGGGAAGGGAAGAGGGTCCCAGAGTTGGGCCCTGGGGTACTCCATCATTTAAAGGAGGGGGCTGGGAACATCCTGAAGTTCATCCGCGACCCCTCATGCTGTGACATAGCCTGTTTTTCTCCTCTCTGACCCTCTCCTTAGGCCTTATATGATCCCATCAACCCCGACAGGGAGACCCTTGACCAGCCTTCGCTAACAGACCCCCAGCGTCTGTCCAACGAGCAGGAGGTGCTTCTGGCTCTGGAGCCCCTGCTGGCCCAGGCCAACTTCTCCCCGCTCTCCGAGGACACCCTGGCCTACGCTCTGGTGGTCCACCACCCTCAGGATGAGGTCCAGGTACCTGGCTTCCAGTTCGAAAGGAGAATCAACACTCCCAGGCATTGGGACAGGGGCGGGGCCTCTGGGGGAGGCAAAGGCTGCTGGGAGTTGTAGTCCTGAACACAGGACACTAACCCATGTGGCGCCTTGGTGAATTAGAAAAAGTCACCTCTTTCTCAGGTCACTTCACTTCCATCTGTTGGAAAAGTATCATAAGATACAGAACTACAGATTTTATTGCCAACTGCTAGAAAATTGTTATAATAAATAATACAAAATGCTCATCCTTAAAGTCAACAAAGTTATAATAAAAATACTAAAATCTTCCAAAGTTCCATATTTTTGTGATTTTCAGATGTAGTTTTTCTTTCTTTCTTTCTTTCTTTTTTTTAGGGTATATTCCTAGAATTGGGATCACTGGGTCAAATAGCAGTTCCATTTTTAATTTTTTGAGGAACCTCCATACCGTTTTCCATGGTGGCTGCACCGGTCTGCATTCCCACTGCAGTGTAGCTCCCCTTTCTCCACACCCTCGCCAGCACTTGTTTGTTGATTTATTGATGCTGTCCCTTCTGGCAGATGTGAAGTGATACCTCATTGTGGTTTTAATTTACATCTCTGATGATTAGTGACATTGAGCATTTTTTCATATGTCTCTTGGCCATTTGTATGTCCCCTTTGGAGAAGTGTCTATTCATGTCTTCTGCCCATTTTTATTTTTATTTTTTAAAATATATCTTTATTGATTTCAGAGAGAGGAAGGGGGAGAGAGAGATAGAAACATCAACAATGAGAGAGTCATTGATGGGCTGCCTCCTGCACGCCCCCAACTGGGGTTCAAGCTGCAACCCAGGCATGTGCTCTGACCGGGAATCCAACTGCAATCTCCTAGATCCTAGGTCGATGCTCAACTGCTGAGCCACGCCCGGCCGGGCTATACTTTTTCTAAAAGTCACATTTTATTGTTTCTGAAATTAGGATGTGACTTCTAAATGGTGGTGTGATATAGTTTAATTGGCAATATATTCTCTTTTAGTTGTTTTATAAAATAATGGAGTAACTTAAAATCAGTAGCATCTTAGATTGGAGGAAATATGGCAGTTATGACTATCGTATGAATAGTGCCATCTGAGATGGTGCCCCTGTGCTCTGTGGGACACGAACAACCATGCGTGACTGCCCTGCCCGGACCCTGCGGGATGATAAGCCTGGGGGAGGGGCGAAGTCACTGGGAGGAAGGATGTCTCATGTCAGTATCCTGCCCTCACACTCCAGCCCATGCTCAACTGCCTCTGTTTCCTTTGTCCTCCTTGGCAGGTGACGATAAATTTAGATCAGTATATCTACATGCAGTTCTGGGCCCTGGGCCAGAGAGTCGGACAGATGCCTCGTAAGTCCAGCGTGGGCTCCCAGCGTAGCTTCTTCCTCAAGTCATCCCCTGCAGAGAGGTGAGGCAGCCCTTGTTCCTCAGGTGCAGCGAGAGGGAGCAAGGTTAGAGTCGAGAGGGGACTGACAGGTCAGTGTCTGGATTTGGGGGTCTGGGATCCTGGTGGGAGGTTGAGAAATGCTGCTTGTTCTTCCCAAGGGAAAGTAAGAGCTGTAATTCCCAGGGGACGAGAAAGGGTAGGGACACTTCTCCCCATTTGCCAGACGAGGGAAGCAGGGCGCAGAGAGAAAAGGCCACATTCTGAAAAAGTGGCACAGCAGGCATTCTTATGATATCATATATATATTTTTTAATTTCTTTTTAATCCTCATCAGAGGATATTTTCTCCGTTGCTTTTTCAGAGAGAGGGGAAGGGGGAGAGAGAGAGAGAGAGAGAAACACCAATGCGAGAGAGACACATTGATTGGTTGCCTCCCCAAACACCCCTACAGGGGATGGAGCCTGCAACTGAGGTACATGCCCTTGACTGGAACCGAACCTGGGACCCTTCAGCACACAGGCCTACGCTCTAACCACTGAGCCAAACCGGCCAGAGCATGACGTCATATTTTTAACAGAGGATATTCAAATACAGAGTAGGGGCAGGTGAGCCGGACCTTCTCCCAGTCAGCCAGTGGGCCTGTCCATTACCCAATCTTCCTGGAAATCAGTTTATCAAATACGGTCANTAGATTGGAGGAAATATGGCAGTTATGACTATCGTATGAATAGTGCCATCTGAGATGGTGCCCCTGTGCTCTGTGGGACACGAACAACCATGCGTGACTGCCCTGCCCGGACCCTGCGGGATGATAAGCCTGGGGGAGGGGCGAAGTCACTGGGAGGAAGGATGTCTCATGTCAGTATCCTGCCCTCACACTCCAGCCCATGCTCAACTGCCTCTGTTTCCTTTGTCCTCCTTGGCAGGTGACGATAAATTTAGATCAGTATATCTACATGCAGTTCTGGGCCCTGGGCCAGAGAGTCGGACAGATGCCTCGTAAGTCCAGCGTGGGCTCCCAGCGTAGCTTCTTCCTCAAGTCATCCCCTGCAGAGAGGTGAGGCAGCCCTTGTTCCTCAGGTGCAGCGAGAGGGAGCAAGGTTAGAGTCGAGAGGGGACTGACAGGTCAGTGTCTGGATTTGGGGGTCTGGGATCCTGGTGGGAGGTTGAGAAATGCTGCTTGTTCTTCCCAAGGGAAAGTAAGAGCTGTAATTCCCAGGGGACGAGAAAGGGTAGGGACACTTCTCCCCATTTGCCAGACGAGGGAAGCAGGGCGCAGAGAGAAAAGGCCACATTCTGAAAAAGTGGCACAGCAGGCATTCTTATGATATCATATATATATTTTTTAATTTCTTTTTAATCCTCATCAGAGGATATTTTCTCCGTTGCTTTTTCAGAGAGAGGGGAAGGGGGAGAGAGAGAGAGAGAGAGAAACACCAATGCGAGAGAGACACATTGATTGGTTGCCTCCCCAAACACCCCTACAGGGGATGGAGCCTGCAACTGAGGTACATGCCCTTGACTGGAACCGAACCTGGGACCCTTCAGCACACAGGCCTACGCTCTAACCACTGAGCCAAACCGGCCAGAGCATGACGTCATATTTTTAACAGAGGATATTCAAATACAGAGTAGGGGCAGGTGAGCCGGACCTTCTCCCAGTCAGCCAGTGGGCCTGTCCATTACCCAATCTTCCTGGAAATCAGTTTATCAAATACGGTCATGAATCCAAAAACCAAACCAAAACAAAAACCAAAGACAAAGAACCCCTTACGTCCCTCAAACCAGTAATTCCACTTTCAGAAACTCATTCCAAGGAGATATTTATACTTGCAATGTGTGCTTAATTATCTGTCTGTCACGCTGCTCACAAAGGCAGTGACTGATTCGTTCTGCTCTCTCTCCAGAGCTTCATAGCGCTCCCTGGCACCTAGCAGCCACTCTAAAATATATGTGGAATTTGAATTTGAAAATTAACGATACAAAAGAATTATACTCAGCTCTCCTTTCTGAAGTACATAAAATCAGAAGCAACCCATGTGTCCAACAATAGGGGATTGTATTATGTAACCGAGCCCCTATTACTGGGCACTCAGCTTATATCTGACTTCCCTCCCACCATTGTTAAGTAGCCTTTAAAATGACTGTGTGACTGCAGAGCTCCCTGGGTGGTCCTGAGCACCCTGGCCTCTCTGTCTCCATTGGTCAGGAGATACTTTAAGCGGGTGGTACTAGCTGCCCGGACGAAGCGGGGGCACCTGGTGCTAAAGAGCTTCAAGGACACGCCGCTGGAGGGCCTGGAGCAGCTGCTGCCTGAGCTGAAGGTGCGCACACCCACCCTGCAGCGCGCCCTGCTCAACCTCACGCTGGTGGTCTCGGGCGTGGCGGTCTTCGTCAACGTGGGCATGGTGGTGCTCACAGACTTCAAGATGGGCACCTCCCTGCTGCTGCTGTTCTTCGCAGCCTTCATGGGCCTGCGGGCCTCCAAGGTAAGCTGAGCAGGCCACCCGCCGTGCCTCCTGGGTCCCTGCTTCTCCAAGGCCAGAAGGTTGGGACAGCCTGTGGTTTTGTTTATTTCATTCATTATTCCTGCTCATCCCTCCCCCAGTTCCATTCCCTTCCCTTTGTGTCCCCCTCCCCATTCCTCACCTGCCTTCCTTCTTTCCTTCTCTACTTTATTTCCTCAGCACAACCTTGGGCAGGTTTCTTGATCTCTCTGTGCTTCAGTTTCCCCATCCGGAAAATGAGGATAATAGTGAGACCCACCTCATAGGCTTGTTACGAGGATTAAAGGAGCGAGTCCGCGGAAAGCACTGGGCGCAGTGGCTGGCATGTGGCAGCTGCTGCCTTTGTGTTCACAGCTACTCACTGAGCGCCTGCTTTGAGAGACACGTAGTGACGGGGTGAAGGATGTGTGCTTTAGAACCAGGCTGCCTGGGCTTGAATTGAGCTCTACTGTCTTCCAGCTGTGTGACCTTGAATAAGTCACTTAACCTCTCTGTGCCTCAGCTCCCGCATCTGCAAAGTGGGGATGTCAATAGGACCTGACTTGAAGGGTTGTTGTGGGGATTAATAATACATAGGATGCTGAGTACAGAGCCTGGTGCTTAGTGCGGAAGGTACTACATGAGAGTTAGCTGTTGCCAGTATTATTATTATTGGGATATTGTGCCCTGAGTCCACGCTTTCCCATCCTGGCCAGGTGTCACTATCACCAAGGGAGCTGTTTTTTCTATATTTTTTTCTTTTGTTGATTTGAGAGAGAAAGGAAGTGAGAGAGAAACATCAGCCTGTTTCACTTATGCACTCTTTGTTTGTTTCTTGTATATGCCCTGACTGGGGATTGAACCTGAATCCTTGGCGTATCCAGACAGTGCTCCAACCAACACAGCTACTTGGCCGGGGCCGGGGGAGCTGTTATTAAGGCAGCCTTTTGGGCTCTAGCCCAAGTGGACTGAATTGGAAACCTTGGGACTGGGGCCCAGGAAACTATTTTTAACACGCTCCCTTCTTGCTTTTGCCACGTGTGAGTGCAGGGTGGCCGCGCAGTTATGCAGGTTGCAGGTTGTTCCCTCTAAGGATTCATGGCCAGAGTTGGGTGGGGACTGGCACCCAGCTTGCGCTTTTCTGGCCGAGTGTGTCCTGTCTCCATGCTGAGTCTGAGTCTCCCGGAGGGGCTGCCAATGTGCCGCCTCTCCCCCTGGGTTGGCACTGGCCCTGGGAGGGACTGGCATGAGGCGTCTGTTGTACCTGATCATTCACTCATCGGTTCATTGGGTTTCAAGCTGTTTTCAGCCATCCCAGTGGGCTGTTAGGAAGACTGGTAATAAATTCTGCAGATAACAGCCAGGCTGTGCTGGCTGTGAGGGGGAAGGGCTGGGGAAGGGCAGGGAGCAATCCAAGGACCCAGGAAAGTTTTGAAAGGGCAGGGTCTAGCCTGGTGGAGAAGGGGCTCTGGGGACCATGGCTTGGGGAACTCACAGGGCTGGGGTCCCTGGTGCAGGATGGAGAAGTGAGGCCCCAGAGGTGGCAAGGGCCTTGAATGCCGACATAGGGGCCTGGGCTTTATCATTAGGGCAGTGGAAGCCAGGGAAGGGTTGTAAGCATGAGGGAGTGCCTGACTCTTGGCTTTGAAGGGCCCCGTTTAAATCCAGTTCACTAGTTAATTTAGTGCATCTGTTAAATGTTTTCCCATGCCCCCAGCTGAGCCTCCAAGCCTTGACTGTGGGCCCTCTGCATCCTCAGTCCAGCTGCCCCCTCCCTGTGCACATTTGTCCCCTCCTGCAGGTCACTCCTAGATTGCAGTCCCCAAGCTCCTGTCCCCACATGCAGGGTAAACTGGTTTGTTCAGCATGGGCTGCATTCAGACGGAGGAGTGGGAGAGATCCTCAGGGGCCAGGCCAAGGAGCTCAGACTCTCTGAGGGCACTGGGGAGCCATAGGAGGTGCTCTAAGCAGGGGAGGAGCAGGGTTGCCTCAGGGGCTGTGCAGAGACAGACTGGAATGGGGAGACTGAGGACAGGGAGGAGGCTGGAGGGATGCACTAGGCTGGTTGGAGAAGAGGGGACAGCAGAGAGAGGACAGGGGGGCTGCTCTGGGAACTGCCAGGCTGGTGGGGTGGCTAAGGATGGTGCCAGGGATCTGGCCTATGACTGGGTAGATGGTGGGGTCACCCCAGATATGGACCCCAGAGGAGGAGGGAGAGTGGGCTTGGGTTAGATGAGGGGAGACCTTGCAATCACTGTGGGCTATGGTGAGTGTGAAGGGAACACGCCGGTGGCAGGTGCTGAGCCCTCTCCAGGGAGAGGTCTGATCTCATCTGTGCGCTGTAGAGGAGCATGACCTGCTCATTACACCTGTGAGAATTCAACTCCACCGGCTTGGACAAAACAGGCACAGAACCAATGTATTTTCATACCAGCTGGTCCCTAACACGCAATTCCTGTATCTCGCCTCCAGCCGTAGGATTGGCGATTCGTTCCAATACAGGGACACAGACCAACTGTGCTGGGCTTGTAGGAAGAGAGCACGGTCTGCACACAGCGTGTCATCGGTGCCATGCAGGCTGTGCCTGCGGTTTTCAGGGCGGTGTTGACTTGAGGCATTTAACCTTTGGGTCTCCATGTGAGATGGGTAATGCTCTATGGGGGAAGATGCTTTTATTTAAGAGGCGAGGCAGCCCCCAGCCAGGGTGTGGATGAATATTCAATAGCTGTTAATGTTTAAATGCTTTGCAGGCCCAGGCTCTGTACCAGGGATTTCAGTAACCGCTTTGACTTCCTGAGCACTTCCTGTCATCGGTCTCATTTCACAGATAGTGCTACCTCCAGGGGATCTTGGGTCTTAGCCTCCAAATCACAACCGGTAGGGGGCAGAGTTGGGACTCGCTTCAAGGCCTGCCCTCTGCAGAACCCAGCAGCCTTGAGCTTATTTTGTGGATGAACGGAGAAATTCGGTCAGAGGTTTTTAGTGTGAGCCCCAGAAGGCACTGGTGGGCTCTCATTCCCCTCTTAGGGACACCAAGGCTGGGAAAAGAGTCCAGGTGAGGAGGGGCTGTGGAGTGGGGAAGGGTGCCAGGAACAGACAGCTGGGCCCCAGACCTGCCCTTCCCTCCTTCCCTCAAGGCTGCTCTTCAAAAATATATATATTTAAATCCACACCTGAGGGTAAGTTTTTATTGATTTTTAGAGAGAGAGGAAGGAAGGAGGGGAGAGAGAGAGAAACATGGATGTGAGAGAGAAACATGGATTGGTTGTCTCCCTTATGCACCTGTCTGGGGATGGAACCTGCAACCATTTTGGTGCACAGGAGGACGCTCCAACCAACTGAGCCACCCGGCCAGGGCTACTCTTCGTGTATTTTTGTTAGCACTTCTCTTTACAGTTTACTATTTTAAACCTTTTTATTATGGAAAAGTTAAAACAAACAAACAACAACAAAAACACCACAGAAATAGTATGATGAGCTCCCATCCAGCATCTGCAATTAGTAAGTCATGTTTAGTTAAAGACCCCCACTCTCTCACTACTGAGTTATTTTGAAACAAATCTTAGGTATATTATCTGCAAATAATTTAGTATTGTCTAAAAGATAAGGACTTTAAAAAATAATTGTAACAAAAAGTTCCGAGGCTAAAGCTTGTATCGACTAGAAATCCTTGAACAGCTCCCATAATGCACGACTCCGATGAGCACACCAGGCTGCAAAATATTGTTGGCGGCCTCAGAGTCACAAATTGCTGGGCCCCGGTCTTGGGGACCTGAACCCAACAAGTCTGGGGAAGGCCCGGGAGTCCGCGGGAAGGGTCCTACCAGCGTGGGAGACCGCGGGGGTGTGTGCGGGGTTCGCGCGGCCCTGCCCCTCGGGTGGCCGAGCTGCCCCTGTCCCGCCTGCAGATGTTCGGGCAGCAGCGCAGCGTGCAGGCGCTGGAGCTGGCGCACATGCTCTACTACCGCAGCACGTCCAACAACTCGGAGCTGCTCAGCGCCCTGGCCCTGCGCGCGCAGGTCGAGCACGCCAAGGAGGCGCTGCTGGCGCACAGCTTTCTGGCCCAGCGCCCTGGGGGCGCGAGGGGTCCGCCCGAAGGTAGGACCCTACCCCGGGACACCCAGTTGTGTCCCCTCCACCCCTGCTATGCAGCCCAGCCCCGCGAGGCCCCGCCCCATCCCATCTCTGCCGAGCACCGACCCAGCCCTACCTGAAAAAGACTCCACAGTCACTAACACGATTGAGACTCCCCTTAACCCCAAGGACCTGCCCCAGTGAGACACTATCCCCACGTTGCCCGCCCGACTCCCTGCTCCCAATGGTGAACCTGACCTATTCCAGCTTACAGTCTTGATGGATGTGTTTTTTTCCTGCGGTGGCCTCCCTTTCCTGACCTCAACCTTGGGAGCGGTCTTGGATCAGACTCGCCTTGCGCCCCACTCCCGGCTTGCTCCTTCCTATAGGAGCCCACACTTTCCCTACAAGAGACCCTTGTTCCTTCCCTATGTAAGCCCCAGGTGGTCCCTTCCCAACAGGAACCCCCACCCTTTCCTGGCTTGTCCCCACATGAGAGCCCCAGAGCAGAGCCTCCCAGGCCTTGTCTCCCAGGCCTTGTCCCACTCCCCTCCTAGCCACAATATACCCCCAGGCTTCTCCCAAACCCAGGTCCTTCATATTCCTTGCCCTGCCCCATCCCAGGCCTTCCAGGGCCCATTGACCTCCTCACAACACCTGCCTCTCCCCCTGCAGAGACATCCCAGTGGCTCCAGTCGAAGGTGGAGAATTGGCTCCTGGCCCAGACAGGCTGTGCTGTGACCTTCAACGGAACTCGGGCTCTGGGCCATCTGCACGCCTTGACAGAGAGCATGGGGATGTACCCATCCTCGGGTTTCCCCAATCTAGACTCGTTTGCTACAGTCACTTCCCCCCAGGTTTCGCCCAGCAGTACAACCCCTGATGGAAACCTCTCTCTGCCCAGCCCTACCCAGCCACCTGCTTAGGAACTAAGCCCCACCTCCTCTATGACAAACTCTCAATCATAGCTATAATGCTTTGCAGCTCCCCAGTTTCCAATAACAGGCAGTATGTTACACTTTATTCTTAAAACAAAGCCCCCAATCAAGACAGCCTACATTTGCTATCCCCACCCCTTCTGATGAATAGCCTTTCCGATGAAACTTTTTAGGTTCTGCCTCCTGCCTCCATTTCATGTC